TCTTTTTGATTTAGTCAACGTTTAGTTTCCTTTTTGTGCGGATTTTGTTTACTTAATGCTTATTTACACCTCTTTTTGGTCCTGCTGGAGGGCGACAATTGTAAATGAGTGTCATTTAGTTGCACTCGAGTGAAAGACAGATTCGAAACGAAAGAGTCTCCAGGGAGATTTAAATGCCAGCAAATGAAATTCTCTGTCTGATTCATTTGCATAGGCACGGGGGATTTTCAATGCACAGGCCACAACAAAGAGCCAAATCTGTTAACGCTTTAGATAGGTTTAGTTAAATTTCAGTAAGCCGAGCTGAGCTCAAAAATCAATAGCCTATTTTACGCCAAATTTACTGCCCAAAGCCCATGAGTGCGCTCTGGTTGCCGTCGGCTGTGTTTTCTGCTCAATTGGGTTTGGACCACTTCAGTTTTAGTTGTGGGACTCTTTTTGCAGCAGAGCCATTTCCCCTGATTAGCGAGAAGTTCAGGCCAAGTTTACGGAGCGCATTTCCAGCCGAAATGAAGCGACTTAGAAGAAATTCTGAATAATTCAAATTGCTTTTTTTGCTGGAGGGCGCACCAAAAAAAAAAAATTGTGAAGATTATAAATTAATATGTTTGTTTAAATTACCGTTAATATTTTACAGACAAAACCAACTTCAACGATTTTTGTTATGTGCAACGATTCTTTATAAAAAATGGTTTATATATTAGTCCATTACTAATGGAATTGGAAAAAGTTTTCTGTGTAGCATTACGGACTTTTGTATTCCATTTTCTACAATTTTTTTTTTGGCAAGTCAACAAGCCACGGAAAAGAGCACTTCTAGTGGGCATTTCTTGAGAAATTTTTTGTCTAATTTATTTGCACTTCACTTTGAGCTGCAGCAGCCTCAAGTTAAATATTTAAGCACTTAAGGTCCATAGAAGGGTTCTCTGACTCAGTTCCTTCTTTTATTTCTCGTAAAGACTTCTAAGACCACATAACTGTATTCATAATTCTCCGACTTAGGGCATATAATTAGCACCAAATAAGTTGGCCTGGCCCGTTGCACTTTGAATTAAATCATCCGCTTTGGCTTTCACTTTATGGCCCACTGAAGATGGTGGCTTTTCAGCTATCTACAGGAACTTTTCTTGGCTCTGACCAGAAACGAAAAAAGCTGCTTTCGCTTTTCTTTTGTGTTTCTGCAACTTGACCATTGCCGACTTAATTAGAGTTGGCTCTCATTTGGCGCCTCTTCCTCTTCCCCGACAGTTTTCCCCCTTTCTTGCCACACGGCCTTCGGTTAACTCGGTGTAATGTGGCCGCCATATGGCCAGAACCCAATTGCAGTGGCAGCGGCAAAACACAATTACGCTCGCACTTGCTTTTTTGTGTCATTTTGCTTTTCTAATTTCAGTTCCATTCTTTCAGTTATCCTCTTGCCTGCGCCATGAGCAACTTTCGTTTTTAACTTGATTGCGATGGTTTAATTTTTTCTTATCTAGGGCTAAAATGGGCGTGCCCGTGGCAGAATTATGCACCACGAAATGCAATTATGTAAATGTCCTTGCTGAAGGAATCGAAGTTAATTAGATCGCAAATTGCAAGTCATTCGGCCCCCAGATCCCTGACCCTGTCTTAATGTTGAAAACGGGAGTGGGCAGGGAATTGAGCAGTTATTTACAAAAATGTCATCCATTTATGGACTAAAATGATCTAATCATGGCAATTATGAAAAACTTGATAAGCTTCAGTTAAAGAGGTTTCAAAGCCAGTGAGGAAATATATGTTTTGTTTTGTGGAGGAGTGTTCAGGCTACCATTATATACTTTGATCTCAGAAATAATTCAGACATAATAAAGTTATCCTTTCATATTCTGAAATAAATAATATAAATTATTTGTTTAAACATTCATGTTCGAATGGTAAACATAAAAATGTAAACAAAATATAAATGTCAACCAAAGCTAAGATTAAAATATTTTCAGCAGATTAAAAAATTTTCTTTCGTGTTTCAGTAAGGCAACTGACAGGTGTTTAATAAAAGTTTATCTGTTAAATTTAGCATTCATTTTCATTTCTTTAGTTCTAGTCAATTTTAAAGCAAGCTAATGGAATTCGTTTAGCACCTCGAGTGCCATAAATAACACAAATAAGATATTCGATATATAAAAGAAGATAAACGGAATTATTTAAATGAATTCATTCCGAAATATGAAAAATAAGGAAAAGGAAAACATGTCAAAAGTCTTTCAGATGAATAATGTTTTTTAATGATCAATTGTCAGCCGGCAAACTGAACTCGTTCATATATAAACTAAACCAAATTGAATACAAATTTGCATTCCCATTTGGAGATGAACAATCCGATAGTTGCATCGTAAACTTTTTTCTAACTACTAGATTTTTATTTGATGATCTTTCGTTTTTACGTTTTTTTCTTATATGTAATCGTGTAAATGCTCTTTGACGTCGAATTTTGGTTTATTTTTAAAACACCCTGTTGGCGTCCCCAATGGCGCATTCTTCGGGTGTGTGTGTTTCAAGTACTGGGTCTCAAGCATAGGGCTTCGATTTTAATTAACTTGCAATTAAACAAAATTTATTGGCGCACTTTGATGGTCGTAAATTAGCTACTCGAGTTACTTCGAAAATGTCAGCCGGGTAAATCAATTTCGCCGAACAGTCGATTTTTGTGTGTGCCAAAAAAAGGGAAGCCAAACGTGGAACTCCGGGGCGTTGACTGCCATTTATCCCCTTTTTTGCTGCACACATTGAAATGGGTGTGAAAGGTGCGAAAATGGGTCCTAAAACTCTTACTTTGCACGACACCTGACATTCTGGAAATTGGCGATGGAGGTGTATATGTTTTTTTACCCACAGGAAATATTTTTATGTTGATATGTGTTTCCACACTGAACTGATACTATCAAATGGATAATAAAAAGGAATTGCAAATATTGAATCCAATTAATATAAAAATGTTAATTTCAGAAAAATGAGACGCAATAATCAGAAGAAACTAATAGATAAACTTGGCGATAGTTGGTCGTCATTTTCCAATATTAATATTATTATAATTATTATATGAACGATATATAATAGTTATCTGTAAATATCCAGATGGTTTAAAGGGTATAAAAAATGTGGTAGATTTTGTTTCTGTATTGGTCGTTTTTTGCTTGTAAACTGCACTAGAGGAAGATTAAACAAGAAAGGAAAGCTAACTTCGGGCGGAGCCGAAGTTGATATACCCTTGCAGAATACTCTGTAAATTATATTCTCCAAAATTATTCATATGATGCATTCTTAATACTCATAAAAAATCCCAACTTCCTAACATTAAAAACACCAAAGTTATGGCATTTCCAATCGTTCAGTTATATAGCAGCTATAGGATATAGTCGGCCGATTATTATGAATTTTGGTAGGTCGGATTGATTGGCCAAAAATAAAACCCATAGAAAATCCCAACTTCCTAACTTAACAATCACCAAAGTTATGGCATTTCCGATCAATCAGTTATATGGCGGCTATAGGATATAGTCGGCTGATCCTTATGAAATTTGGTAGGTCGGATTGATTGGGCAAATATAAAACCCATAGAAAATCCCAACTTCCTAACTTAACAAACACCAAAGTTATGGCATTTCCGATCAATCAGTTATATGGCAGCTATAGGATATAGTCGGCCGATCCTTATGAAATTTGGTAGGTCAGATTTATTGGCCAAATATAAAACCCATAGAAAATTCCAACTTCCTAACTTTACAAACACCAAAGTTATGGCATTTCCGATCAATCAGGTATATGGCAGCTATAGGATATAGTCGTCCGATCCCGGCCGTTCCGACTTATATACTGCGTGCAAAGGAAAGAAGGGTGTGTGCAAAGTTTCAATTCGATATCTTTAAAACTGAGAGACTAGTTCGCGTAGAAACAGACAGACGGACAGACAGACGGACAGACAGACGGACAGACGGACATGGCTATATCAACTCAGGAGGTGATCCTGATCAAGAATATATATACTTTATAGGGTCGGAGATGTCTCCTTCACTGCGTTGCACACTTTTGACCAAAATTATAATACCCTCTGCAAGGGTATAAAAAAACCTTTTCAGTCTGGCACTGGCAATCACCCTGAAACTTCTCCTTTCTCCCAGTGGCCTCTCCAAATTGGAGATGAAGTAAAGACACGTTGAAGAAGTCAAACAAGTCACTTAGCTACTGCGTGCAGCGATGCAAACACCCTCGGCAATAGAGGGTAGACCTAGTCGAATTTTAGCTTTGTTTCTTTTTTGGGAAGTTCACTTGTTCTTATTTCTCTTTGCTTGCTTCTTGGCTCTGAGCCAAGCTGATTTAACCCTTTAACGTGGCTCCGCTCGGTGCACTTAGACTTAGGTGTAGATTTGCGGCAGGAAGTCTTCGATAAGATAAATCTCCACCTTGGCATCAAAAGATGTTTATTTACGTATTAATGAAGCGGAAGTTGCGGAAATTTCACCCAAATGACATATCGCAAAACCACAGGATGCTTAAGGGATATACAAACGCAATTATATAAATTCTCAATTTTCGCACAAAACTTTTTATGTGCTTATTTATAAACTTGATTATCAACATCATTTCCAGTCAAAAAACCTATAAATAAAACTAAACACCCACAAAATAGCAATCAATTTCTATAACCTTTAAAATTTATTTTTGTAATATACAATTATAAACTTAGTTTTTGTTATAGGAAATAAATTGAATCTGCCAACCGCCCCTAGCCCATTTAATTTCGAATGTAATAAGCTCTTAAATTATTGCATATAACAGAACTCTTCTAATTAGCTTAAGCAAATGTCTTGCAATTTCGTAAACAACACAGAAAATACACTGTTTTGTGTGGGAATTTCTGGTACAAAAATAAAATTCTCTCAACTAAGAGAAGATCTTACAAAAGAGAAAAAATCCCGGGACTCCCCAGCAATTCTTCCGCCGGATGAGACCCCGAGCAGTTCCAGATTGAACGTAGATCGCGTCGGTTGTAGATCGCTCCCGTGCTCGTGTCGGTTGTTAAGGGGAAAAACTCATGCCAAGCCAAACGCAGTGAAATAAATCTTGTGCGTGATCCAAAAATAACGCCCAGAAAATATCTGCAAAGGGGGACAAAAACAGAGCGCGTGCCAAGTGCTCAAGTAGAAATGTTTACGCGCAGAAGGCACCAAAGTTAATCAGTTCAAAAAAGAAAAGTCGCTGTAGAATGATTTATTTTAAGTGTGGTGCAATCGTTACCAAATGAAAATAATCGAAAAGTCTTCGATTTATTTGTGCAAATCCACACAAAGTGACAAACGAAAATAGAGCCTCTGCCAAAATTGTTTTAGGCATCTATCGGCCAGATCAAAGATACAACAAATTGGTAAATGCATAAATTATCGTCAATGCAATAGTCAAATATCCCGAAAAATTGATTATTAGTAAATGGTCTTCACTGTTCAACCTTTAATAAAAATACCACTGCGAATTATGTTAATTAATAAACTAAAGAAGAAATCTCGAAGAAAAATATGCAAAATAATTAATACGCAAAAATTTCGCTCATTTATTCTTTCGTAGTTTGTGTAAATCAAGTGCAGGAATTAACTTCTCACTACATTTTTTCCAACACTTGTGAAAAAAAAAGGAAATATTCACAAATTCAGTGATGTGTGACGCTCGTAAACATTTCAACATATGTATAAGCAACAAATAATAAAGGCAAACAAATATAATACGAAAATTGTGCGCAGATTATCCGAAGCGAACTTATTTCGGGTGCTCCAATTCCAAATTAGTTCTTTAAATAAAAAGCTTATATGAAAAGTATACTAGATCCAATTTTAAAGCCAAATCCTTTTTCATTGCGCAAAACAATTGTGTAAACAAATTTAAATAATTTGCTTGTGTTTCGAGTAACCGAATTATTTAAAAATAAACATTTCACTTAATTTGCGCGATAGTGCACCACGCCCACCGCCCATTTGCTTGTTTTTTTGCGAGGGAGACCAAAAATAAACCTCATAATTCGAAATAATTCGGCACGATCCTTTGCATTTAGCTTGGGGTTTGTTGAACTTTTTGTCGCGGTTTTGCATTTGGCTATTTCCAAATTGTGTTTTCTGCAAGTCAGCTAAAATTAGTTGCAACTAATTTGTTGTTGTGTGCTCGTACTTTATAGTTCCCATTTCGTTTGGCATGTCAGAAGTGACAGCTTTCGATGCGTCGACGTTTCTGTGCTAATTATGCAAATTTTGCGTTGTGTCCGTGCGATGTACAATGTTGTTTTTCCGGGGGCCACGGGGTTTTAACCCATGGCACCCCTACCCCTGCTACGTGGCCTTCTGTCATCATTTGCATCACAAAAGCGTTGGGTGGAAATCTCGCCGGAATTGTTACATCGCTGGTGAAATATAATTTATGGCACTGTCACATCTGTTCGGAAACTATGTCGAAAGTGCTTCTATATTGATTATGCGGTCTGCGGATAAGGATCCTTTTTCGCTCCCATTTAAACGGTGTTCGAGCAGGCAGCACGCTTCAATTGACCCACAAATTGTGCGTTTTAGAAGTGGAAATGCCAAATGCTCGACTGAGTGACTTCATCAGAGCAAGAAAAGCATTCCCCGAATTGTTTTGACCAGCCCAAGTGGACCGGCAGAAAATAAGTGAGTTCGCGACAGAGTAATCCAAATCAAATCGAATCACTTTACGTAAATTCCAATTGCACTTTTCCCTCTTCTCCAACTCTCCTTGATTTTCTTATTTTGCCATCTTATTTCCGTTCGGTGCGTTTTGCTTTTCGCCAGCTGGCAGCTGCCAACTGGCAAGTTTGTCTTGTGATTTCTCTCTTATTTTCGCGAATTCTTCTATTTATTTGTTTTTGCCTTTGGTGACGACATTTCGTGGAGTGCGCGGACAATGCAGCAAAATTCCGTGAATATTTTTGCCCATTCGTTTTTATTTTTAAGCACTTGGTGTTTATTTTTAGCGCTGTGCATTTTGTTTAAATTTGCATTGCCACTGTGTTTCTATCTCTCTTTTAGTATTTATTTTTTATTAGTTCCATTGTTAGTGGCAAGTAGTTGTAGCTCCTGCAGTTTCAGCTTTCGTTTTTTTCGAAATTTGCATTTAATGGCCACCGACAGCTGTCTTAATTTACTTTCACTTAGTGGATACGTTAAACCGACAGATTGCCAAGAAAACATCACAGAAATAGCATTGATTTTCTATTTCGTTTCCCTCTAAAAATAACAGAAATGCTATAACAAGATAGCTAAAAAGCAACATCCGTTTATGTTGACTCAATTAGCTTTAGAGCGAGTTGTTAGAGGAATTTATGAGATTTACTACTGCGAGGGTGCTTTTCACGGCTGTCTAAGTGCTCGGATAAACTCCATTCCCACTTTAGCACCATTTTTCTCATCCATTCCTTGCTTTTAGCAAAAGTCAATTTTATGTTCCCAGCAAATGTACCTTGACATTTATGTGTGTTTGTAATGCAAACATCCGGAGAAACACACACAGGGGCAGTAAAAAGACTGACCATAAATGCAATAAATAATAAAAACGGGTGTAGAAATTGTTTTGTTATTTTCTGTGCTGTTTACTATTTGTTGATGCCCTAATAATTGATGAATGGCACTTTGTTGAAATGACGAAACAATAAAATCATGCAACTCAATTTTTTAAATGCCAAATTATAAGGACATACGTAGGTATAAATAAAATCCGAACGATTTAAAATTCTTGTTTATTAAACTAAATATTTAAATTCAAGCGAAAATCGTAAAGTATATTTTTTTCAGGGTGCGAAAATTTGTTTGTGGTTTTAATAATTATTTTAACTTAAAAATTTAACATATTTCTTAATGATTTCTTCGCAAACATGTAAAATAAATAAGCCGTTCTTAAATTAAGAATAAATTTAAGTAGTTGGAAGGGAGTTCACTTTTCGGCTTGCGTTTTTTACCTTTAAAATTTGTGTTATTTTTTTCTTGTTAGATTTGTTGTTATTGTGCAAAATGCTTTTAGTGTGTCAGTGCGTTGTAATTATTTTGATATATACTTACTTACACGCAGAATCCCACAATATAGTGTACATATGTACATATATGTATGTCACACATTTTAGTTTCTCACACACATGTGCCTCCCATGTGCCACCCCCTCCCCACGTCACTGTGCTTTTCTTAGCTTGCTCGTAAAAAAACATTTAAATTCCTTTTCATTTTTAGATTTTGCGTTTTTTCACTTTTATAGCGAAATTAGCTCACTTCGTTGGCGTGTCGACATAAATCTAGATGGAAAAGAAACAGAGGAACCTAATTCAATTTTCATTGGCACTTTTGCTTTTATGATTAATCGTCATGGGAAATCTTTTGGCTTTTCCATTCCATTTATTTCTGAATGCTCCTTGTTTACGTTACGCAAATGTGAAACTACACGGCACCAAGTTCTGAAAAGCCTTCGGAACTCATATTGCATATGTCAGGACTTGAATGACGAACGTTTGTTCAACGCCCCTTATTTGTATACAAATCTTCCATTTAATGGCGACTTCTTATCATTTTGAGCACAAACAGCATAGGAATAAGGTGTCGGAAATTCCTTTCATTTCATTTCCATTCACTTCACTTAGATCGAATCGATTTGACAAAGTCCAAAGTCCAAAAGCATTCATAACTAATGGGCCACTATAAATAAATGACTTCCACCATTCCATCGAAAAGTCCTAAAATAATATTTGAAATTCTGAAAATGAACAGCACATTGATTGTCTGCCACACATGAGAGGGCATGTCAATTGGAAAATGCAGTGGCACTGAAAACTGAACGATGACTCAATCAGAACGGGCCATTAATTTTAGATATGAATTGTCTTAAAGGGGGTCGGCATTTGTTTTCCTAAATTTGTTCATATTCCATGCAGTTTTACCGATTTGAGTTGCAAAGACACCAATTTGTTGTTTTAATTCATAATTTTTCTCGATATAACATAAATACACATTTTTGTTACCCTTTCGGTTCTTTAATATTTGTGTAAAACAATTTTTTTGGTTTTTGGAAGCCTTAGATAAATCACCTTAAAGTGACCCTAATTGAACTCCAAAATGTTCAGGGAATATGTATATCGTATAATTAGTAAACTTGTGAAACAAATATTAAAGAATAATAAGCTTGTTAGGCGCTTTCAATTTACTAAGTGTTTTTCACGGACATTTTCTTTGTGTTTTTCTTTTCGCATACAATGTTTCGGCATACAAAAGCGAGTGAAACTTTTGTAGGAAATCAAATTAAATACAGAAAAACTGGACGAAGGAGAATGCTAAACACTGCAAGTAAAGAATCTGTTGGAACTATTTAAGGCGCTCAAAGTTAATCCATGTAAATACAGAGTCCAGAAAATGTGAGCGGTTCGGCTGGTCAAAACAAGAAAGGAAAACAGCGGGATCCGAAAAAGAAACAATTAACCAAACTGAAAAGACAAACACGGGCGGAATGTGAAAAGTTTGGCAAAAGCGGAGTGTAAGACTATAATTAGAATTGAAAACAGCCGAGAACAACAGGAAAGTCCCGGAGGCGTAAACCAAAGCCATGAAGTTCCGTTTGGCAGCATTTTGGCTATTTCTGCTGACAGTTGGCGGCAATCACAAGCAATTAAGCCACGTTCGCACGTGGGGCGTGGCGGCCGAAAGGCAGCTGCACAAAGGAAATGAACTGGAAAACGCAATGAAATTGCGTGAAACCTCAAAGCAAACGCGGCTTATCGGGGACATCACGACGACCATTCAGCCGGATCCGGGCAGATCAATTGGCCATCAGGCTCTGCGACGTACCAAGGCCCCGCCGCCCGATTTGGAGCTGCACTTCAGGCAGAGCGTGGCCCAGCTGTTCGCCAGTGATGGAACCAGTGGCCATGGAGCTGGCACTGACATCCCCTCGGCCGCAATTTCGGCCACCGACGCGGGCCGCGGTGAGGCGACAACCACTCATCACCCGGGGCGGCGACATGTGGTGCCCGATAAGCTCCAGTACACCAAGGAGATCCTGGTGAAGCAGGGGCGCCTCATGGGCATCACGCGTCGCTTCCAGGTGACCAGCAAACTGCGCCAGGTGGACCAGTTCCTGGGGCTGCCCTACGCGGAGGCTCCCACGGGCAATCGACGCTTCATGCCGCCGGGTGAGTGTCCAAAATTATTACAATTAGGTTGGGTTCTTAAATTTCATGCCGAACTTGGGTAGATCGGAGGAACCCCAAGAAGCCCGGTTAACTATTTCAGGTAAATTCATGGCTTGGGGAATGGTCGGTTTTTTATTTGTCTATAAGAACAGCGCTGAATTTTGCTTTGGACTAGTTTTTAAATATTTTAAAATTATCTAAGCCAGTTATGCTTTCTCAAAGACCATAACCTAAACTAAGTCCTTATAATTTATTTTATAGGTAAGTTCATGGCCATCGTAGATAAAATATAAAATTTGGACATGAAGTTTGTCGAATAGAATTTTAAATTCCTGGCTTTTATATTGTAAAAAGTATTTCATTATGTATAAAAACAAAATTAAGGGCAATTTGAAATCAAAATCATCAAATCAGACAAAATCATTCTCAGAATCAACAAAAAATAATGTAGACATTATTATTATGGCATTTTAGCCAGTTTGCTTGTATTTAATTTCAATGAACACGCAAAGATGTAAAACATATTACTTAAACTGATACACATGTTTAGTTAAGAAGTACATCAAATGAATGTCAATACAATTTATATAATTTAACAAGACATAGCAAAAAGTTGGTAGGTCCTAGCTATTTAGCTTTTCGTGTACCTTTCCCGCCATAGGCGGCCAGCACTATTTGTGACCGCAAATATGATGGCAAATTGCCACTTTGCAGCACAAACAGGGCAACCCGAAAACCTCGAAGCCCCAAAAACCCCAAAATTCGAATGGAGGAATGGAGGAGGGGGCCTGTGGAAGGAGCGAACACTCCTTGAATAGCCGACACATGCCGCCGCCCTTCTCCTGCTGGCCATGTTAGTACATCCTGCTGGTCCTGGGACGCTGTTGGGCACTTAGAATTTAGCCTGCAATTTAAGCAATTATCGTTGAAGCTGCCCCGGCATTAGGCTCTCAGAACTTGACATCTGCCCCTCCAACGCCGATCTAGTAGGATGTTGGGGCCTAGGCACGTCCCTGCGAGTGTGTGTTTCCTGTCTCGAATGGCTATTATTATTGCAGCTTGTTTTTACAGGGATTGCAATGTAAGTCCTCCTAGTTTGCCCATTCATTTGGCCATATGCTGGCCGATTATGTTTCGGATTTGTACACGATTAGTAGCTTGTTTAATTAAGAGTGAGAAATGGTGGTGTTATATGTATTTAAAGTTTGTTTATCAAAACATGATTTACGTCGGTGCTGCCAACTGGTCTGCGAGACTTGTGGCCGCCAAGCTGCCAACACTCCCGCAAAGTTTGGGCCTTTGTTTTGTTTTTGGAGGCATAAACAGGCCATAGCTTCAACTGTTGGCACCACAACTTCCTAGTTGCCACTTTGTTGTCCACTTTTATTGGGCCTGCACTGAAATAAATTTACCGGAAGCAAGTTTTGGGCTTAAATTGTAATTTAATTTTAGATCAGCACTTAAATAATTTGAAAGATAGTCTTCAAGTCGGCTAATCGTAAGTCGGATATATCCCACTACAACTTACATGTAATCGTACCTTCCCTCGGTCTATTATGTTTTTTAATTGATTAAGGTTTTTTATAGCTATGAAAATTGATAGTTTAAGAATTTAATAAGTATTAATATTGTTTTTTATTAATATTATAAAATCTCCGTCCAAATTTAAAAGTAATCAATAGTCAAATAATGAAAATATAAAACAGTATGTACCTGGAATCGTTGTAATACGTGTAGGAGTAGCACCGTTTTAAGTGTAGGTCCAGCGAGGCGGCGGTGCAATGCCGCGTGGTTTTGAATCACATTACGTAAAGACAATAAATTAACACGCCCCAGAGGCTGTCGAGAGTGTTGGCCGCGATTTGCCTGTCAGATGGGCTTGGTTGTAGTTTTCAGTTGCAGTTTCCAGTTTGCACTTGGCCGTTTGTCGCGCTGAGTTTATTGAGCACTTGAGTGCCGTGCACTCAATTCAAACGGACGGCGGCGACACAGCAGCAACATATCGCTGCACCGCAGCAACATCAACATCAACAGCAGCAACAACTGGAGACGGGCGGCGACGCCATATTTGTCAGGGGAAGTTGTTGTGAGTTTGCCATTGCAAACATGCTGTCGCTGATACGACTTGCCTTCAAATTCGCCGCGCAAATATAAGCCAATGCAAATATGCTCACGTTGCGAATGCGTAATTTGGAGAGCCTGTCAAAGCGGAGGACATTCAAACCCGTATGCAAACAGAGTCGTGTACGTTTGTGTGATAGATTTTGTTTGTGCGCAGCGACCCAACAAATACACATCGTTTTCGATTCTGCTCTGCGTTTCCTATTTCCGCTGCAGATTCGTGAACCTCTTCCTTTCGCCTGTTGCGAAATTTATTAATAACAAAATGCAAATAACGCTCTCATCGGCATATTGGATACGAGTCCCCATGTTTGGAGTTTGCTCTTTTCTTCGCATTTTTATGGTTTCAATAACAAGACGAAATGAAATTTGTCCGCCGCGAATGTGTCAAAGTGTAAATGTTGAATATTTTTTTGGGCGCCGAGCCAGTGCGAAATTGAAATTGACATTAATTTTAATGAATAAACTTGTGGAAAATTTAAATTTCGTGCACTGATAATAACAGTGACATTTTCAGTCGCTTTGAAACAGTATATATTTTTAACCGATACAAAATATTAACGATTTTATATTAATTATTGATAAATTAATTGTCTATTTATTGTGGAAGGTCCTTTTTCATTCGGATATTTAAAATATTAGAATTACTCTTTTTATTGATTTCTTGCCGTGTAATATATTGCACCTAAATCAATTATAGCCATGTGTTAGTATCGTTTTTGAATTGGTTGAGCGCTCTCAAAGCGTGTTCAAGTTGCAATAATATTTTCAATCAAGTCTGTGTGATTGAAGCCACTTAATTTGCCTAAGCCCCGGGCATTTGCATATCGATCGCTTCTAAATAACCGCAAAACAATCTGAAGCCGAAACAATGTGGTGTCAAAATTTGTAAGCGATTTGCAAGCGAGATGGATTGGCGTGTGTGCTCTTAACCGCATGAATTTGGATCTGGAGCAGTGACCAGAATCCGAACTAACTTGACCAAATCGTGGTTGGCCATTCACCGATGTTTCTCCGCAGCTGCGAGCACGGTTTGACGTTAACTGCAACAGCAAAGCGTAACCGCAGTCAACTTGGCCACGAATCGGATCCGGACAGGACCAAATACCGAGCTCCGAGTGTCCTCTGGTCTCCAATGGCACTTGTGTGCAGGAAGCCCGAGCTCGGGGTGTGTGCTTGCTTGTTTATGGCGTTTTCAAGTGCGGAATTGACTTTTTGGCCACAGCGCTTCGAAAGCAATCGAATGGCTACGAAACAGTGAGAGGAGAGAGCGAAATGTGTTTGGCCACCATGGGCTAGGATTTAATTTGGTATGCCCTATTGTCTGCAAGGGTGTATTGTACTTTTTAAGATTTTCGTAAAATGCGGAAGGAATTTAATTGAAAAAAAGAGAAATTCGTAGAAAAAGTTTCTTTACTTGACTTATATCAATAGCTATGTAGAGTCATTAATTTGATGTTTTCATACCCTTGCAGAGGGTATTATAATTTCAGTCAAAAGTTTGCAACGCATTAAAGGGGACGTTTCCAACCCTATAAAGTATATATATTCTTGATCAGGCCATGTCCGTCTGTTCTTTTCTACGTAAAACTTGGATAAAACTTGGCAAAAAGGTTTCTTTATGTTGCAGGTAGTATATAACTCGGAACGGGCAGGATCGGCCTATTATATCATATAGCTCTAATTGGAACCATCTGGAAGAAGGGAAATAAAATATAGCTTTTTAGTTTCTTAACATACTGTTATGTTATATAACAGTCGGACTAGAAACTATCAAAAAATGCATCGTAATTTTCACCTGGCTTCAGTGATTTTAAGCAACGAAATCGAAATTCAATATGTTTTTTTAATGTTTCCTCATATCCTATTTGGGTTGCAAAAGGTTTCGTTATTTTAATTTTTTTTTTATTTTCCATTTCTTTTTCATTTTTTTTTTAAATAACGAAAGAAGATATAGCTGTTTTTTCACAAGAACACTACTAGTCATTAAATTATAAAATGATATTTGTAACTCACCATGTTAGCACTAGTTTGTCGATTAAATACTTAAGTGAGGACCTAGACAAATAAAATCAGATTTTATTTCGCACTCAGCAAATGAATAACCGTTTTAACAACCATATTAACCGTATTAAGGAAAGTGTCTGATATGTCTGCAGATGTTTACTTGAAAATCATTAAATGAAGTATGCAAAACCTACTACAATCATAGGCTGCCCAAGAAGGTATTTCCTATGATGTTTCTACCCATTTTTAAGTGATTTTTCAATTGTGTTTTAGGTGCCCCTTTGCCGTGGCAGGGCCTGAAGATTGCGCGCCATCTTCCGCCGGTATGTCCACAAAAGTTGCCCGATCTCTCTCCCCACGGTAGCGAGAATATGTCTCGCGGTCGCCATAAGCACCTGAGTCGCCTGATGCCCTACCTGCGGACCGAGAGCGAGGACTGTCTGTATCTCAATCTGTATGTGCCACACGATGGTGAGTCTGCGGGGAAGTTTAAGGTAGTAGACCGGTGTGACGGCCGAAATTTTGAAGTTTTCCGTGACCTTTTTATATAAGTAAATAATATACGATCGTTTTGTAACTTTTCCATATTTATTTTAATACTTACAAAAACATTTTAAATTTAATTTTAAAGTGGAGTCCTCTAAAAAATGATACCTGTTACTTTTGAAATTAAAAAATCAAAAAGATTATTATTGTGTACCCCTTATTTCAATAAACTAACACTGAAACAAGAAAGGAAGCAAACTTCTTTGGGAGTTGGTAATATTTAAATACTATGGAATTACGTTTTTAATTAAATTATAATTTGACATCTATATCATATAGCTCCCATAGGAAAATAAAAAAATTTTAAAAATGAAATTGAAAAAAAATGTATTTGGCTGTTTTTCTATTTATCAAAATATTCCTTTGAGATAAAGTAATTGTTTAATGTAAATTGAAATGTAGTCGTTTTGTAATAACTAGTACTAACTTCGGCATGCCGAAGTGTGCTTCCTTTATTGTAATTTTGATTTTTATTTGATATAATGTAACTTTTAATACAGTTTAAGGGCCCCTTTAGAGAATAATTTTACTGTGTTCCCGTTGACATTATAAGAAGAATCAGGCTATGCCTCAAAATTCTTAGCTTTTGTGTTGTTGTGATAGACGACCTTAAAATAAGAATAAAAACATACAATAGTTTTCTACATATAATACATAGTTTTCTATTTTCTACTACAAAACTACTTTTATTTAAAACTTACCAATACAAGTTACTTAAGATTACGTTAAGGTTAAGATAAATCTTTCAATGATTTGACCATTTGACCTTAAGTTTGAGCATAAACTCTTTCAATAACAGGCTTTTTTTTGGGAAGGTTTTAATCCAAATTTCCCTTTGTTTCTAAATAAAAAAATATCAGCAGAGCCATTATTATTAAATAGAAAATTAAAAATAAAATGCGATAAAAATGCATGTGCTATATATGAACATAAATAATAATATTAAGTCGATCTAGTTCTAAGAAACATCATTTTTATACCTTTGCAGAGGGTATTATAATTTTGGTCAAAAGTGTGCAACGCAGTGAAGGAGACATCTCCGACCCTATAAAGTATATATATTCTTGATCAGGATCACCTCCTGAGTTGATATAGCCATGTCCGTCTGTCCGTCTGTCCGTCTGTCTGTCCGTCTGTCCGTCTGTCCGTCTGTCTGTTTCTACGCAAACTAGTCTCTCAGTTTTAAAGCTATCGGATTGAAACTTTGCACACACCCTTCTTTCCTTTGCACGCAGTATATAAGTCGGAACGGCCGGGATCGGCCGACTATATCCTATAGCTGCCATATAACTGATTGATCGGAAATGCCATAACTTTCGTGTTTGTAAAGTTAGGAAGTTGGGATTTTCTATGGGTTTTATATTTAGCCAATCAATCCGACCTACCAAATTTCATAAGGATCGGCCGACTATATCCTATAGCTGCCATATAACTGATTGATCGGAAATGCCATAACTTTGGTGTTTGTAAAGTTAGAAAGTTGGGATTTTCTATGGGTTTTATATTTGGCCAATCAATCCGACCTACCAAATTTCATAAGGATCGGCCGACTATATCCTATAGCTGCCATATAACTGATTGATCGGAAATGCCATAACTTTGGTGTTTGTAAAGTTAGAAAGTTGGGATTTTCTATGGGTTTTATATATGGCCAATCAATCCGACCTACCAAATTTCATAAGGATCGGCCGACTATATCCTATAGCTGCCATATAACTGATTGATCGGAAATGCCATAACTTTGGTGTTTGTAAAGTTAGAAAGTTCGGATTTTTTATGAGTATTAAGAATGCATCATATGAATAATTTTGGAGAATATAATTTATAGAGTATTCTGCAAGGGTATATCAACTTCGGCTCCGCCCGAAGTTAGCTTTCCTTTCTTGTTTAAATCTTTTTTGTTTTAATATAGCAACATACAATTATAAGTATGCAGTAATGAATCCTCTTTATCATTACAACTTTAGAGCCCCAGAGTACCCCTATGCAATACGCAGTCCTGGTTTATCTGCATGGCGAGTCCTTCGAGTGGAACAGTGGCAACCCCTACGATGGCTCCGTGTTGTCCAGTTATGGGGATGTGATTGTGGTCACCGTCAACTACCGATTGGGAGCGTTGGGTGAGTCCGGGACCCTAAGAGAATTGCCTGCAAGAGTAACCTGGTATTTTTGTGTTCCGTTCGAAGGTTTCCTGAGGCCCAGCATCGATGCGCATAATATAGCGAACTACGCCCTGCTCGATCAGATTGCGGCGTTGCACTGGATCAAGGAGAACATTGGCGCATTCGGCGGCGACAACTCACGTGTCACTCTAATGGGACACAGTACAGGGGCGGCGTGCGTCAATTACCTAATGGTTTCCCCGGTGGCCTCAGGTGAGTCTGGCGGATTACGACTGGCATAATTCGATGAGACCGTATTGTGGACTTTCGTTGTGTGCTCTCCCACCGCAGGCCTCTTCCACCGGGCCATCCTTATGTCCGGATCGGCGATGTCCGACTGGGCCGCCAGCAATCAGTCGCTGCAATTGACCATGCAAATCGCCCATGCCCTCGACTGTCCGCTCAATGAGCACGTGGAGGCGGAGGACGATGATGTCCTGCTCGACTGTTTGCGCCATCGTCGGTGAGTAGTGCTCGACCAATTGAATTATTTAGGAGTACCAACAACCGCATGAGCGATATGCGGAGCATTATAAGCACCCGTGATGCCGGCTAATCCCTTCCAGTGCGTTCACACTGAGAAACACAGCTTACATTTAACTAGAGCGGGTACTTTATTGGTTTATAATTTCGCACAGAAACAACAAACTATATTATGTACGGTCACACACGATTTTAGACAGTAGTGTTCTCAGCACTATTAATCTTTCTAAATTAAAATATAGGTAGTATTTGCTTATATTCAACATTAAGTAGGCTTTAAAGCCTTTTCCGAAAAGTATATTTAGTATACAACGTTATTTGTCGACCGTTCCTTTACCCTTTTAGCGAAGGAAGTTTTGATACAGTTCGTATTATTTTTTATTTGATTTAGCCTTCTGCCTTATTGCCCAAGCACTATTTTTCGCTCAGTACCCTTTGTGGCGAATGTGAATGCGTCATTTCATTTGCGCCGGCATCTTCATTTGGATAGTGTTTTGTGTCCCCTCATTCAATTCGTCAGCCCAATAGAATTTGGCGGCTTTGTGACCTGCCTAATGATTCGGTAAATTTACGAGCTTGCAGCGCCATGATGTCAATGAGGCGTAAAGGCCTTTAGGCTCAATATCTCGCTATAAGTCCGCCCCCAGTACCTTGACTAATCACGCATAATGTCCATGACGATGGCTTGGAATTTGCATGGCCGTTACTCGAAACCTCTTGTGTCCAGTTTGGTCAAATCGCTCACTAAGTAGGTGATGGATGGCAGGCCCTTTATTTAATTGCTTTTTAATTAAAATGTTAAGAACGTTTAGCTTCAGAATACATTTATAAAACACGCGGCAACCCGTCTGAAATTTAATTAAGACTTAATGTTAAGTTTTTTTTTTGGATTGTGTCAATCTGGTTTGAGTAGATTTATGTTTGATTGATGAGAGCATGTGTACATTCATATCATATCTTTTAGCCAGACAAGGCTAAATTGATTCAGCTACTTACCCTGATCAAATATGTATTTAAATATTTTATATGGTCGAACAAGCTTTCTTGATCTGATTCATATTGTTTAGTTTATAAAATTTAGCCCTTATATTCTACTTGTAGAAGGTCAGATTTTAGCCCATATTCCAGGTCTCAGAAACATAAAATAATTTTAAAATTGAAGCATTTTCAAGCCCAGAGTTCACTCTGAGTAAATTTTGCTGAACATTTAAAGGATAAAATTACCCTAAAACCTGTTCAACCATACAAATGTTAACCTTTTTTATTATTAATTTGTACCAAATTTATTGTATGATTTTAATATACATTTTTATATGGGTTTAAAATCGGATCTGGACAGAAAGTAAGTGTGCGCAAACTAATGAAATTTACATTTCATATTCATTGCACGCATTTCAGCGGCTTATCCCATCAGAACGCGAGTATCCCATTCCATTAAAGCATCGGCACAAAAAACTCCTGAAAGCTGGACTTAAATGCATTTTTTTTATTTAGCAGCATTAAATGCATGTGTGGGCATCCTTTGCTTGTGTGAAGGACCATTTGCATGCAAAGAGAAGTAGACAGCAGAAGGAGATGAGAAAAACAATTTGCATACAAAACGAAAAAAAGGCATGTAACTAAATATGTAAAACTAAATCAACAACGGCACAATAATAGTAATTATGTTAATTATGCCAGCACACACTACCCACAAGCTGTCAGCCCTTCCACTAACAAACACTATGATGCAACAGTCGTCTTTATCTGCATGTGTGTGAGTCTTTGAAAACTTTCTACTTGCTTTCTTGTCCTTAATACAAATTGGCACAGTAACTTGAAAACCCAAGCCAAAACTTTGGATGACGTAAATGGTTGATTTCAGTAGTTGGGGTATAGAATATGTTATAGGCTCTACTAAGAAATAAAAACGTATGAGGGAGAGAAATGTAAGCCCTCCAATTTAATAGATAGATATATTCAGACTTTATTTATATAAAGCCACGAACAAATGTTAATTAAAAAGTAGTATTATTTTTATCGGAACATTAAAAGAAATTGGTCTATGAACCATCAAACAAATGACTTAAATAAAAAATTATTTGCGATTTGACGATTTCTTTATTTTGAATTATCCCTTTATTAAAAAAAATGTTCGTACATAAAAATTATTATTTCGAACCTAAGTTAGTAGAAGTACCCTAACTGAAAAGTTAATTTCAGAATGTTTTAATGAATGAGCTAAGCTTCAGTTTGAGCCTGAGAATTGCAGCCTCGTGTGGCAGCTTACTTAAATAACTGGGGGAACGAACGAGGGAATGAGTGAGTGAGTGGTGGTTGAGTAGCATGTGTGCCAGCCAGTGCGAGTGTTAAATGAATGCAATGAATTATGCATGAATTACTGAGCAAATGTGCTCATCGCTTTTACTGCAAAGGCACACAACTCACACACACCCACTGAAACACAAACAGGTAACAACTACTTGTGCAAACTAAGAGAGAGTCACAGTCGCATTTGTTTAACCCACTCTCACACATTGGCATAAGCCTTTGTCTCTGGGTCTTAGGCTTCCTACATATTTAATTGAACTTTTCCCCCCAAATCCTGCCCATTGATTTGAACGTGTGCTTTTCCAACTTGTTAATTTATTCAAATTATTTACCTATTCCCCAGCCTAATGTGTTTGCCTGACAAACAGTGCTTGTGATCTCTATTTACTTCTGGGCAAGCTTACCTAAACTATTGTCTCAAATGTATATTTAAAGACCTTAGTTTCTGACTGCCCACTTGGCCTTAAAATGAGCATTACGTTCCTTTAAATTTCTGTCTGTGCAAATATTTCGTTAAGCTGATTATTGCTTGTAATTTTTGAATCAATTATTGGGACATCCAAAACGAAAACTATGTGAATTAAAGCACGGTGTTTAATGCGCTTATTGCTGGAAAAATCGTAGCCTTTTAGCGGCTTGTTTTAAAATACAAGAATTAGGTAAAATATTTGAGCTACATATTTATAGCGCAATTTATTGTATTCAGTTATATTTTTAACAAATTTATGTTTTATTTGTCGTACATTTAATCGTCTTAAAAATGCAACAAGAAGATTTAAACAAATAACAATATCAAGTATACGCCATGCTGCCCCACAAATAATCCCCAGCTTTGACGCCGTGTGTTTGCTTTGTGCCACTCGAGCGCTTCTAATTGACAAAATAAAAGGCAAAACATATTACAAATTCATTAAATAGAAAGCAGCAGATGCAGACAGCTTAAGCAGGGCCAGAAACACAAATACGAACCAGAACTAAAACTGAAACTATAGCCGTGTTAGGGACAAGGCTAAACTGGGGCATAATAAATGTTCGGTTTGCCTGCACAGCAATCGCTGCGAGCGTGTGTGTGCCGTTCAAGCAGCTTCATGCAACCTTAAGGACATTATCAATCTTCGTTCCTGCCACCAGCACACTGACAAATCGTGCATCCAGCTACCCAGTATCTGTATCTGTGCCACCACAAACAATATATAGAGAAAATCGCACATATTGTGTGTCTAACGAGTTAATCGCAGTTGCAGCTCAACTTGCGACAGTTTTGCAGCAGGCGAGCTAATAAGAAGCAACAACGGGCAGAAATAAAGTCTTCTCCATATGAAAATCATAAATCACACTGCCTCATGGCGAAAAACTTTCAGAAGGGGTCATTCCCGATACCCAGAATCGGTGGCGCACAACTTACTTTCTTGGGGTTGCCCGAATTGTTTTAGCTTCCACAAATTGTCAAAGTCAGAGGAAAACTGAAGCTCACGTAGCTTTGGCCGTGCGGTGCAGACTTGAGCAATAAACTTGGCCATGTGCCGATAGCCAATGGTCGGGATGACCGCAAAAGCCAGGAACATGGTCTGCAAACTTTCCTTGCACTACAAAAAATAATATCAAAATTCTAATTTGGGCTTAAAACATTTACAAATAAATTTTTTTAGTTCCTCAAAAGTTTTACAAAAGCTTTTCGATTTCTCAAAGATATATTTTAAGTAAAGATTTACACATCATATATAAATTCTTAAAATTTAAATATTAAAATCAACGAAATTTTTAGTTAAAAATGTACTTAACACCATTAAAATCCTTTTTAATATCTGGATTGGTGTTAATCCTTTATTTTTTATTTTATTTCTTTATGGCGCAGACAAAATATTTAAAAAACTTTTATTTTTTTTTGTAGTTTAAACATCATTCAAAATGAATTCAATTTTTAAATATTTCTGTCAAAAAAAATCATTAGCTTCACAAAGTGAATTTAATTTTGATTAAAATTCAGTTGGACGAGATTTCTGACTCTCCCCGGAATATACCTTTCAACCTTGTATTTATTTTTAAGACTTGTGAAATATAAAACCTTCATAAAACAATTTTTTTCAAGTGTCACAAAGCTGAATTTCTTTAAAGAGCAACGAAGCTTCATTTCTCGAAAGTGTTTGATGGCATTGCATCGATTGCTGCAGTCAGCTCTTAGCTTAAATGGATTACAATAATGTCCCTCTTCAATGGGATCTTAAGGTGTTGAGTGAATTAACACACACATCCACTGACAGATGGCAATTTTCGGTATTTTTTCGGCTTAGCATGTGAATGGATGCCAGGAATCCTTGACATCGCTTCGAATTGAATTTTTTCCCCAGAGCTGCCTTTACTCGAGTGCAAACTAAGCAAAGGAGACTGCATGATTAAGAGAGTTTCGGTTTTAATTCAGCCACATTCCCAGAATCATTGGTGAAAGGTGAACCAAATATTATGACTATGCAAACTAGGGACATTTGCTTGAAGGTTACGCCGAGCTGAGCATGCAGACTGTTCATGTGAATTTCTACTAGGAGCACTTCCACCTCAGCTGCTTCGTTCCTGGTCTGCATTTTCGAGATAACAATTGTCCAACTCTGGCAGCCAAAATATTCCAGATTTTCGTTTCTCCCCTCGATTCTTGTTGTTATATTTTTTGTCGGTCCTTTTCTTAATTTGTGGAAATTTCTGTGCCATCGACATCGACACTTCAGTTGGAGCTCTGGCATGTGGATTTTTATGCAAACTATGCCAGAAATTGCACCCAACTGAACCATTTCGCCACTGCAATTTTGTATCAATACGGGGTGCGGTGGGTCTGCCCAAACGAAGGCCAAAAGAGCCAGTCAAGCGGGTAAAAAGAGCAAAAAGCGTAAATATTGCAACGAACGGAAATGCTTTGCAGTAGGAGCAACTTCAGACCAGAGATCGCAGGAGCATTCTATGTGTGTGCTGATTGTATTTCATATCCACGTGGCATTTTTATGTCGGAAAAAGGGCTGGGTTCCTCGTTGGTATTGGCAACACACAAATAAATACGAGTGTAAATCCGAAAGAGTATGTGCGTGGGAATTGGTTTGCATTGCGGCTCTATTATGGCTTTGAATGGATAAAAATACTTTTTGAAAAAATGTCATAACTACAGGAAGTAACACAAGTGCCAATGATAAGCGCACAGTCGTTGATGGAAGGCATTCGGTTACTCGTGAGTTAAATTTGAATATGTGAGTATGGAATATAAAATAACAGAGAGAAAATAAGCCTCAGCGGATTTTTCGTAACTTTCTTATTGCACACATCGCTTAAGAAGACATCTGCTTTTGGGACACGAAGTTTAATAAAAGTGGAAGCATCTTTTAAGTTGCCCTCCTTTTATACCTCGAAATAAGACTAAATTAGTTAAGTGCACATAATTGTGACAGTTTGTGCTTTTTTTAACTGCAGATTTTCAAAATAAGGTCAATACAAATATTTAATAATAAAGAAAGAACCTTTTGCCTGGGAGTTGATCTTCAGAAATGGTGTGTGCTTACTTAACTAAATACCAACTAAAAATGTACATCTTGTACAAATAAAGTTAACGGAAGGAATGAAAACCATTGAAAGTTGGATTTACACAAATAATAGTATGTTTAACAAATAAGGTAATTTATTTTTAAGGATATTCAGAACCAGGATAGGTTAGGCCTGTGCATATTTATTTCATCCTTAGTATCGCTACTAAAAAGTGACCTGCCACTCGAAGTACTCTTATATTCTGCGTAGTAATTTCGCAATGCCCTAAAGACCATATGCGTATCTTGTAGGCCATCTTGTTGGCTTTATGTGAGCCACGTGTGTGTGGTACGTGACAGCGAATGTCCAACAGCAAATCACACATAAAATTTATTAGAAATTTCAAATCAAAGTGAAAAGTGACCGCTGTCAGACAGCTGAGTCGCTCGACCACTCCTCAAGCATATATACATCTACTCCTACACTTAAACACAACTCGTTTGTAAAACCTTTTAACGCGTTTTGTGCCGTTCTTGTTTCTTTACAGCTACCAGGATATCTTGCACATACCAACAGCGCTCACACAATTTTCAACATCATTGGGTCCAATTGTCGATGGACATGTAATACCAAATCAACCGTACAAGGTCATGGGGCATTATACGGAGCACTTCAGCCGGTTTGTTAAGCAATTCCCTCCCGATTCCCTACATTGCGATTGCTTTTTCCCAAACCTAACCTTAGCCAATGCCAATTCCTCTGCGTTTGATATTTACTGGTGTACCGTGCTTTGGGGAGCTGTCAAATATTCCTTTTTTTCGTATTTGCCCCGCACAGACAGCTCACCGACTATTTATTGTGCGTTACTTGATTAGACGTCTGGTATTTCTTTCTCCGATGCGTTCGTTTGCCCTCAGGTGAAGTCAAATCGCCTGTGAAAATCGAGATCTGAGGTAAACCATTTAACACGGCGATTTTGCTTTGGGGTTGGCACAGTTATCATCGAACAAAATACGGCTCGAATGTCACTTGTTGGAGTTAATGGCAGCCCAGAAAAACAAGGATGAAATCATCACCCTTTGGAGCCCTCCTTTGGTCCCTTCCGGATAGTTGGGTTCTCCTGCGGTCAAGCTGAAGGTGAATCATTAGAAGCCACTAGTATTATTGAGCCTTGGTAAAGAAAAGTGTTATTACCTGGAATTTTAATCATAAAGTATATATCTAATACTAATTTTGTTATCGCTTGAAACACCTTCGACTACATAATGTTTTTGCTCACAGTACATATTATACTGCCTTTAGGGTGGAGTCTTATAAAAATGATTGAGTACGCTATATATCTATACATATATATTTGATAAAAAACATTTTCGATGTGAGGCTTGAATTTTTTCCCCAGTGCCAGAAGCAAATTAAGTAAGCCTAATACAAATAATGGCCAGGTCGGATCAAAGAGCTTTGCTGAGGGACTAGGCACCGATGCCCCCTTATAAATTACACCCATCCATCAATCAATTGGGCAACAAGTAATAACTCAACTCCTCACAGGACTCCGCACTCATTCCAAAATCCTCGCGCAGGACTCCTTCGCACTCCCATTTCCCCGAAGGATATTGGGGCACGTGCTGTTTAGCCATTCAGTCAACCTAACACGGTATAATCTAATAAAATGCGTGATTAATTTGATTTTAATTGTTATCCTTTTGCAAGTCAAACGTGTTTGACACGCAGTGCCGGGAAAAATAGAATAATAGCTGCCAGGAAGAGCCATTAATTACGGAGGCAGACAGAGTTCCGGCGAAGAGGGGCAGGTCACGGTCGAGCTGGGAAACTGAGGTGCAAGCACGTTTCACACGGCAGGCGCTGTCGATGTTGTTCGGGGCGGTTTCCCTCGACTTGGGCTTTTAATCACCTTAATCAGCGATGACCAAGGATTAGGGCCTTCCCAAATGAGTGAGGTTCTCGCAGAGTGCAGGAAAAGTGGTGCTCGAGCACGGTCAAGAGTCCAGTTTCCATTCCATTGGCATCCCCATTCAATTTAGCAAGTTTTGCAGCAGCTTTGCATTTACTTTTATCGGACAAACTTTCCGGCCAACTTGAGTGGAACTTTTAATGCCATGTCCACGGCGCAACAGGAAGACAATGCCCAGGGCGACCCAAGGGACACCAGGGGGCGTGGTCGGTATCCCGGGCAGGAGTAGTACCCTTTTCATAGACGTGCACCAGGCACACCATTTATCAGGCGGCGTAACAAGTGACGCCTCAGGAACGAGAGCTCGTTTTATTTTAGTGCTTTTAACTGCGTTTTATGGGAATTCATTGCGCTGTTGTTCCCTCAATGCAAAAGGTTCACTCAGAAAATAACGGTTGACTAGCGATTTAAATGCGAATTATATGAGGGAAAGTTTTAGGTCAATAATAACCATTCAAATTTAAGTGTCAACTGGCTGTTATCCACCGATTTTAAAAGATTAAGGACCATGTTAAGTAAATACATGCTCGAATTTTTGTTTTTCAAATATTAAGTAAAAAATGTAAAAGTATTGGATTTTATCGTATCTTTTTTTAATGCAGTCCACTTAAGTAATAGCACTTGTTTATGGCTCTTATTTGTCTCAAAGTTGTATACAAAAATTACTCATTCGACAAGTGAGAGAAGTCTAATAAAATCATATCTTGTCAAACAATGCTTTTAAATGACAGTAAACTTTCTTTCAATTTGAAATCCATTAAAATTAATAGAAAAGTTTAAAAACTATATCAATTTTCCGATAGTTTTTTGGTATAAAATGACTTCTTCACCGCGTTGCAAACTTCTCTTCAGGAGGATACAAATAAGGGACTATTAATTTTAATGCATTTCAAATTGAAGTAAACCTTATATTTTTTTATTTTTAGACCCATATCCGTTTTATGTAACATGTGCTTTCTTTCTTGCTAAGATAGTTCTTTGTGGAGTTTAACAGTATATTAGATTTGCTGAAATCAACTGCCTGCTGAGCTTAGATCGTTTGATCACTCTTAGAAAAAAGAGCAACAAAATTTTCAATTTAGTGTAAAGCCCATAAAAAGAAGTTTTTTAAAATTTTTTCCACCGATCTCAAGAAAAGGAGAAGGAGAAAACATTTCAAATAACGTTATAAATGACTAATCACCTACCAAGTAGGAAACAAGACAGATTATGAAGATTATATGGATCACAAAAGATATATTTATTGTTCAGTATAAATTATGTCCTACCAAGAGGGAATGATCCGGGAATGAAAAAGCGAAGCTTTTTGGAGTATCCCAAAGTGGCAAACCACACCACATCTCTCTCTTTTGCTTAATATGCTTGCTAGCTTTACCTGAACGGCACCTGTTTTTTTGCAGTGCACGGAACTAGCCCGCGTCCACCGGAGGTAAACACAAACTATGCATGTCGACTGCTCTAACCCGCTGCCACCGCATCCGGTCCTCTCACTCACTCCGCCCACTCTGTCTCTTTCAGTTATGATTTATTATTCGGCATCACGGAGTCAGAATCCTATCACACACTGGCCGCATTAGCACTCGAGGAAGGATTACGTGAAAATGAACGCGATAATTTACTGCGCTTCTATATGCAGAGCCGCTTTGATGTACGCCCCGATTTGGCATTGGCTGCCACGCTAAAGAAGTAAGTGAAATTTATGCTCCATTTTATGACGGCGGGCAATGCAAATCCGCGCCAGCCCAAAGCCCGATATCCGCCCAGTTGGGCGTATAACTTACTTCGCGTTTCGCATTTAGCATAGTTGCCGCAGTCATGGCGATCCGATTGACTGGTTTGCATGGATGTAAGTACACGGCCATATCGTTCATCTCAATTAGAATTGTTTATGTGGGGCAATTTGTTTGCTAAGTGCCGCGGATTAGCGACGCCCGCCCAAAATGTCGAAATGTCGGTTAGGCAATTTACTCCGGCATTGACGTCACGACGAATCCAGTGGATCCGGCTTTAAGGTTTAATTTGAATTGAAATTTATTCGGGTGCGGAAATTTGTTTGGGCCTCTGGCTGATTTTATTGCGGGAAGGCTCCTTGGAACTGCCGCCATAAATTATTATAAACGACTAGCCCAACTGATCCGGAGAGCTGCCGCAGGAGAGCACTATTATGTCATGAAAGGGCTACTTTTTACTTGGAGCCGTTGACGTTCCCGCGGGTCGACATTACTCCGTTCATTTGGGGAAAACAATGCCACCGACTATCTCATTTTCGCAGAAGGCGTCCCGTCCTGGTCCTTTCAGTTCTCCGGGAAAGTTTGAGTGCAATAAATAAATTGCACAGTGCACAGCAGTGACCTCCTGGCACCCGGAAAAGTTCCCACCCACCCACGCCCATTCAATGTCAACGTTTCTCGGTCCCAAACGGGTCCTGAGCAGCGTTTTTCGGAACCATCCCATAAAGTTATTTGCACAAAAGATGCAATTGTTTCTAAAGATGCTCGGCAAGGATTATAAGCGGAATGTCCAGACGATGCAGCGTGTGGAAATAAAAACCCACATGGATTAAAAACGAATGTTGAATGTGCTTTTGAGAGGGATTTAGTAAAGCGCTTAAAATAAATGTAAAAAACATTCAGGGAACGAGCTTGAATTGTAATACTAAATTCGAGTAACAGCATCGATAATAAACTATTTTTGTTTTTATTATTTATGTTTGAAGAGTTTGAGAGTGAACTTAGTGTGGTAATTTATGTGAGTAATTTATGAGAAGAATTTTCTTATGGTTTCATATAAATACTAGTATATCTTTTTTTAAAGATTAATTCGAGTCGTTTTAAAAACCCATTTTTTTCTTTTATCCCATTTACAGTCTTTTCTTGATTAAGTTTTTTTTTTCAAATTAAATAATCCTCAATAATTCTTAGAATTTGGTATATTGGAATATTTGTCTAATTATATTTTTAATAATAAGTCTAGTAAAATATACTTAAGAAAGTACAAGGTAAAACGGGCTTCTGAATACTTAATCAATTTATTAATCACTTAACTTGACTTAAGTTAATTATTATGCATATATTGAGCCCCATTTGTTTTTTCCAGTGATGTATTGTGTATATTTATAAGAGAAACTTATTCATTTAAAACCGATTGATATATCTATCATTTGTGTCTATAACCTTCGTATATCCTGTACCAACCAAAAGGGAATAAAGTATACTGGAACGGTGCAAGGGAATATTGCTCAGCATTAAAATATACAGATCACCTGTGTAAATGCTGGACCGCGGTACACGCCGTTATGTAGGCAACATATTTTGTAACAGAGACACTAAAATAGGAAAATCGAATATATCGTTTGTTCTTTAAATTGACTAGGATGCTAATACTGATCATAGTTAGCCAATGGAATAAAACTCCGAAGTAAGCTCCCTGCCTATTTATTACATTTTTACGATACAAGAATGCATAATTCTCATTTATAGATCGAAAAAGAGGCTTGTAACAGCAATAGACGTTTAAAAGACTGAATTTTTAATAAAAATAGATTTTAAAAATACAAATTTTGTTTTACGATTTGTTTAATAAAAATTGATTGGTCAGTTTTGTTTACAATTTGATTTTTACAATTCGATAACAATTGCATAAAAAGTGAATTATTGTTCTACAAAATATTAAATTATTTATTTATTCAAATTCAAAAAATTGAATTTTTCATAAAAATTTAGAAATAATTCTTAATATTCTAATCAATACGGTCCGTGTTTAGTTTAGTTTTTTGTATTTTTTTTTAGCACTTTGAGGGTCATATCTAGCAGCCTTGGTACAAACTCTGTTAGCAACTTGAAATACCCCTTGAGTGGCGGAAAGTGGTCTAAAAACTATCTAAGCTGCTGGCATTCGCCTGTAGCGGATAACAGCAATAACACCGCAACAACAAAAACAGTAACGGCTTGAAAAGCAACAACAGCAGCCATAGGAATAAACAACAAACAAAAAACAAAACACAACGACAATTGAGAGAAAAAAGAAGGACAAACAAACGATTGAAAGGAAGTTCACACAATCAACAACAGATGCGCTTTTTCACATACGAATAACTGAACATGGAAACTCTCCAGGGGAAATGGTTTTGTATGGCGTCGGAGGGGCGGCGAGGGGTGGGCGGTGAGTATGGGGTGTGGGTGGGGCTGTGGAAGTGGAAGTGGCGGCCTTTCAGGCTTTGCTTGCACATATTTGGCGCTTTTCTCACTGCTGTGTTAACTGCATCCCAGTGGCAATGCTTTGTTGTCCGTCATTGAATTAAATGGCAGCCCAAACAGCAGTTGGACCCACGGACAGCGGACGAAGGCAGTCATTGACGGACAGTCGTGCTTTTGTTTCGTTACATTTCATTTCCACTCCTGCCACTTTTCCCTAGTTTCCCTTGGGCTGAAGGATGGGCGGAGTGCCACATTCTAGGGCTTTTGGCCCGCGGATCCTTGCACTCGTCTGCTGTTCAGATGTTCGACACCACACCTTTGACAATCAATGCATCTTCGCAGTGAACCCGCAGGTTCTTTATGTCCTGCGCATCAATACAATTATTTCAAAAGAGGGCGGTGAATGCATAGCCTACACTTTCGTGAAAAGAGGCCAAATTCGAAATAGTTTTGGTATTCCGGATAGAGTTGTTTTTTTTGAACGGATTGTGACAAAATTTTTCCTATTCGTAAAATAGGAATTATCATAATAAATCTTACCGGAAATTCAGTAATAAAGCCAGTCCAGTGCTCATGAAAATTATTTTTTTCAGGAACTCAAGATCATCTTAAAATTGAAGTACATTTGGAACCAATATCAATTGAACAAGACGAAGTTTATATACTCTTGCAACTAAATCAAAAACAAGAAAGGGAACAAACTTCGGCAAGCCAAAGTTTATATACCCTTGCAGTTATTAAAAATCGACTACATTTCGATTTCTATGCATATATTACTAAAAACAATGAAGCTATGTCGATTTTGCGCTGCATGTTGCCATTCTTTCTATTGCAGCTATATGATATTGTTGTCCGATTTTAATTTTTTAATTTTTTTTCCGATTTTTCCTATGGGAGCTATATAATATAGTCGCCCGATCTGGCTCGTTCCGACTTATATACTGCCTGCAATAGAAAGACAGTTTTTGAGAAAGATTAAAGCAGATAGCTTTTAAACTGAGGGATTAGTTAGTGAAGAAAGGGACGGACGGACAGACGGACATGGCTAGATCGACTCTCCTGGTAATGCTGATCAAGAATATATATACAGATTTTGTTTGCAGATTTTATTTTTCTTTTAATTTTTCGACTCTTTCTAAGGCAGAAATAAGATATAGTCATTTGATCCTGGGGGTTTTTACTTATAAGATTTATCCAGATAACTTTTACTGACTGATTAGTAATGATTTTGAAGTTGGTCGCTGGTATTTTCAAAAATTCGTTCGTACTCTTTTAATTGCTTCTTAAAAATAATATTACTTTATTTGTACCATCTTGATAGATGTTACTTAAAAATAAAATCAAGTTTATGTTTTCATGACTTTTTCGCTAATACAATTATACACATATATGTAAGTTCACATATGTAATTCCACAGTGTAAGAAAATGTAATCTTCAAGATGAACGTGGGGCTTCTTTTAATTTATTTCTTTGAGCAGATCTGAAATTGCCTTGACAGAGAGTATAAGTAATAATCTTCCTTTCCATACATATTTATGACTTACCCGGCAATGTCTCGAGCTGATTGCATTTCATTTTGCAGCATACCGAGTACGAATTCTCATAATCCTCCTCGAAGGCGCCTTAAAGTGCACACAATTGCTTTCGCCGCCATGCCTCGATTTAATTTTGGCCCGCTCAAAGCAACTCAAAGTGGCATTGCAAAGGACCCTCGAATGCACTTTTTTCTATGTGCATATCCTCTTTTGCTGGGCCATTTTATCTGCTGCAGTGCCGCAAGTTTTAGCCAGGGCTCTAAACTTTTGGGATAGCGCCTCCTCCAACAGTTTTTGGTTTATGGCTGGCGTTTTCATGCCGCCAAGGTTTTCAGAGGGGATCGGAGCGACCTGTTACATGACCCCTTTTAGCATGCCCAACGCGTGTTTCCATGGCTGCGTTTAATGGCTGGTCAGATACAGTTAAAGATTCTGCAACACTGGAGGGAAATAGACCTGGTCCCCCGGTCCACCTGTGGGCCCTAAAAATTAGCTACTACAACGTCGAACAACAACAAGACAGACAAGGAGGAGCAGAAGTACAGAGCCACAAAAGCGTTGCTTTATTATTTTTATAAATTAAATATAATTTCTTTAACAATTATTTTGCTTAAAAATTACTATTCTTCGGATTAATAAAAAAACTGTAAATAGAATATACCTAAAACTGTCACAAAAATGTTTAGCAAGACAAGACTATACATGTTCATAATTTGTCCCAAAAAATGTTTTTGCCATAGCGAAATCCGTCGTTATACTTTAATACTTAAACACATTACTCTTATTTTTGGTCATACTTAGACGTTTTTTCCCTTTAAGATAACTTAAGAAACAATTCGGAAAATTTATATCTACACATGTTTATTTTATTGTTCTCTTAAAACTCTTTAAGTTCTTAGAGTATTCAAAAATGTATTTGTAAAACACAGTCTTTAATGATCGAGAGCATGTAGA